CCAGATCCTCCATTCTCTCTAATGGAGGTAGTGGAGATCAGAGAGAGGTTCAGATCAGGCTGACAGCTGGAGGAGAAGGGAAGGGAAAGGGTAACAACCCAGTCCAATCTGTTTATCATGTTATAAACGCTTTTTTCATCTTTGCAACACCCATCTTCCAAGTAAGTAAACTGAGGCCCAGGGAAGTCATCCATCTAGGGCCAAGTGACTCTCAACAAGGGTACTAAGACTATTCAGTGGGGGGAAAAGTGAGTCTCAGTGGTGTTAGAACCAACTGGATATACACATGCGAAAGAATTAAGTTGGATCCCTACCTCATACTATATACAAACATTAACTCAAAGTGGATCAATGACCTAAATGTAAGAGTTCAGATTATAAAATCTTAGGACACCAAATACACAATCACCAAAGACAAAATAGATATGTGCATCCAAGATGTTATCAATAAAATGCAAAGACAGCCTACAAAAAGGGGAAAAACATCTGCAAATCACATATCTGATAAGGGTCTAGAATCCAAAATATATAAAGAACTCTTATAACTCAATAATAAAAAGACAACCCATTTAAAAATGAGCAAAGGGGCACGTGGTGGGCTCAGTCGGTAGAGCCTGTGACTCTCAGTCTTGGGGCTGTGAGTTCAAGCCCCGAATCGGGTATAGAAATTACTTAAAAATAAAAACGCTAAGGGCACCTGGGTGGCTCAGTTGGTTAAGCGACTGCCTTCGGCTCAGGTCATGATCCTGGAGTCCCAGGATCGAGTCCCGCATCGGGCTCCCTGCTCAGCAGGGAGTCTGCTTCTCCTTCTGACCCTCTTCCCTCTCATTCTCTCTCTCTCAGATAAAATCTTTAAAATCTCTCTATCTCTCATTCTCTCTCTCTCAGATAAAATCTTTAAAAAATAAAAAATAAATAAATAAATAAAAACATTAAATATATATAAACAAATAAATAAAAAAATAAAAATGAGCAAAAGAATAGACATTTCTCCAAAGAACATGTTAAAAAGGCCAACAAGCACATGAAAAGATGCTCAACATCGTTAGTCATCAGGGAAATGCAAACCCAAACCACAATGAGATACACTCAACACCCCTACTAAAAGCAAACAAACAAAACAAACAGGAAGATAACAAGTGTTGACAAGGCTAGATCCCTCTAGAAATTAGATCCCTCACACATGGCTAATGAGAATTGCTGGGTCCCCAAAAAGTAAAAAGAGAATTACCAGATGACCCAGCAATTCCACTCACAGTGATATCTCCCAAAGAAATGGAAACAGATGCTCAAACAAATAGTTGTTCCCAAATGTTCAGAGTAGCACTATTCCCAGTACTCAGCAGGTGCAAAAACCCAAAGTCCGCCAACGGATGAATGGATGAACAGAATGTGGTCTATCCCTACAACGGGAATGTTAGCCCTAAAAAGGAATGAAGTTCAGCTACCTGCTACCACATGGATGAACCTTGAAAATATGATGGTAAGTGGAAGAAGCCATACACCAAAGGCCACAGATTGTATGACTTCATTTATATGAAATATTATATATACTTCATTTGTATGAATTATATAATGTTATATATAATATATATTCTGTTTTATATTATTATATATAATAATAGAATTCAATTGAGATATATTATAATATATAATAACAGCATTCAGTTTATATATATACATAAAATTAGAATTGGTAGATCCATAGAGAGGGAAAGCAAATTGGTGGTTGCCAGGCGGTGATGGAAGGGGGAATGAGGACTGACTGCTCAGTGGGGCTCTTTTGAGGGAGAGGGTGGGGTAGGAAGACAATCTTTTGGAGCTAGACAGAGGTGGTGGATGACATTATGAGTGTATTAAATATCACTAAAGCTTATACTGTAAAATGTTTAATTTTGCATTATGTTTATCTCAATTAAAAATAAGAAAGAAAAAAGAGTTACGGAGCCAGTTTCTGGGTCAGCAGCCTTACCTACCTTGTACTTGTGCTATTACTTCCCAATTTGTTTCTTTTTTTAAGATTTTATTTTTAAGTAATCTTCCCACCTAACGTGGGGCTCAAACGCACGACCCCAGATCAAGAGTCGCATGCTCCACCAACTGAGCCAGCCGAGTGCCCCATTACTTCCTTTTCTTTTTCTTTTTTTAAGAGAGAGAGAGTGTGTGTATGCCTGTGAGTAGGGGAGGGGCAGAGCCTGAGAGGGAGCAAGAGAATCCCAAGCAGGCTCCACACCCAGCACAGTGGAGCCCGACACAGGGCTCAATCCCACAAACCCAAGATCACAACCTGAGCCAAAATCAATATTTGGATGTTCAATCGACTGAGCCAACCAGCACCCCTACTTCCTATTTTTAAAATGGATTCAGCTTTTTAATTCATTTGAAAGGAAACTATATGTGGAAAATACCATTCATCAGAAAGTAATCTTAAAAAAAAATAAATAAATGCATCAGTCCTTTTCTTACTGCTTTGTTTAAAAAAAAAAAAAACAGGGGTGCCTGGGTGGCTCAGTCGTTGGGCGTCTGCCTTCGGCTCGGGTCATGATCTCAGGATCCTGGGATCGAGCCCCGCATCGGGCTCCCTGCTCGGCGGGAGGCCTGCTTCTCCCTCTCCCACTCCCCCTGCTTGTGTTCCCTCTCTCGCTGTGTCTCTCTCTGTCAAATAAATAAATAAAATCTTTAAAAAAATAAAAATAAAAATAAATAAAAAAAAAACAGTAAGGTCGCCCTGAGGGACACTTAACTTTTTTAAAGATTTTATTTATTTATTAGAGAGAGAGTGAGCAAGCGAGAGAGAGCATGAGTGGGAGAAGGTGCAGAGGGAGAGGGAGAAGCAAGCTCCCCACTGAGCAGGGAGCCCGATGCTAGCTGGTCATGTAAAATGTACAATGAAGTTAGGATGGATTCTGTTACAATTATCCTCATTAAATACATACTGCTTGCAGGTAAAGACAGATACGTAGATAAGTGGGTAGGTAGATAGATAAATAGGAAGATTTTTTTTTAAGGCAGAATTCAATTGATGAACAGAAGTGTTCTTGGATATAAGCCTGCTCTCTCTGTTAAAAAAAATAAAATCAGCAAGTGTTCCAGGGATGTTAAAGCTAAATTAGCACTGAACTGAGACTTTCTCCTCCATAGACTTAGAAGGATTAAAAGAGAGGGGCGCCTGGTTGGCTCAGTTGGTTAAGCGTCGGCCTTCAGCTCGGGTCATGATCCCAGGGTCCCGGGATCGAGTCCTGTGTCCGGCTCCCTGCTCAGCGGGGAGTCCGCTTCTCCCTCCCCCTCTGGCCCTCTCCCTGACCTCTGCTTTTGCTCTCTCTCTCCTCTCAAATAAATAAATAAAATCTTAAAAAAATATATTTCTTTTCCATAACGAAATGAAGAGCACAAGGGAAGTGAAATGTGGTAATTGTCACTTGGCCTCAATGTGAGGCAATAGGGCATGGTTGGGGACTGGGGCAGATGGGAGAGAGAGGCCCTCCCTATAATCGGCAGCCCCTCTAAGCTCCAGCCAATGGTTGCTACCAGGTCTGATGCTATTGGAGCCCCCAGTTTTTTTAAGGAAAACCAGACATTCAAAAATTCAGATTTTTTTTCATGTGACCTATTTTGATTGTTCAAATACTGGCTCAAATTGCTTTTCTAAATGCTGTGCAGGTGAAGCAAGACATTTGCAGGACAAACATGGCCCAGGGGACACCAACCTGCAATACTATTAGCCCTATTTTGAGAGATGAGGGCACAGTGTTCCAGAGAGAGGAAGGGGTTTTCCTGGGGTCCCCTAATGGTAAGTGGTAGGATGTCTCTAGAACATGGGCTTGTTCCACTGGTTCAGCCTTAGGGAAGAAGGGCCAGTGAAATGAACACTCACATTACAGGCTCAGTCCAGGTTCTATATCCCCCCATTCACTAGGGGGGAACCCAGCCCCAGCCCATGGCCTCTGGTCCTCCTCGCTCTGGACGTTTGGGGCTGGAGCCTCAGAACCATGGTGCGGGGGAGTTATCAAACCACACCAAGGTGGAGCTGGCCTGCATCTTGAGAGGATCGCACGCTGGAGCTGGGGGTGAGGACATGAAAACTCGGGCGCCTCCCACTAAGTTCTTTCCTTTCATTTTCTTTTGGTTCCTAACATTTTGTTGTGGAAAATTTCAAACCCACGAAAAGCTGAAAGAATAGCAGAGAACATCCGTACACCTGCCTTGCCACGTCTACCAATGACATTCTGCTTCACCTGTCACCCCTCCGTCTGCCCACCCACCCGTCCCATCTGCCCACCTTCTTATTTGATTTCGTTTTGATGCCTGTCAGAGTAATTTGCAGAGATCGGGCACTTCACCCGTACAGAGTTCAGGCTGTGGATTCCTTTTCTTTCTAAGCTTTGACTCAAAAGTAATTAATGAAGACATTCTCTTTGTAAAGGAAGGGAAACATTACAGGAACGTGAACTTGCCTTCCAGCACCCCTGCCTTAGCCTGATCCTGTGTCTAGGGATGACCACAGCCACCTGCAGCACACACTGTATCTCTACATACCTTTTTCTGAGCTTTGAAGTATCTACAGGTAGCCATGGAAAGTAAGCATGCTACTATGTGGCATGCTTCTTCTTTTTTTTTTTTTTTTAAACAAAAGTTGTGCTTTCCTGGACATGTCGCCCTACAGTTTGCTTTTCCACTCAACACCTTCTCGTGTCAGCATGAGATTCTACCTTATCCCTTTCTGCAGGCTGCAGTCACCCACAGTAAGAATACATCGCAGGTTTATCTACCCACGCCCCCAGCTAATGGACATTGAGGTCATTTATACCTGGTGTCATTTCTTTTTTAGCTTTTGTCCAGGTTTCTTTGTCTGATTCCGTAAGCGCTCTGTGTTAAAGATCACTTAGAGTAGATAACCCCCGGGGGTGGTCTCTGCAGTGTTGGGAGCAGCGGTGAGTTACTGCAGCCGGGATGCCCGGGCCGCTCGGGGGAGGTAGGCACGGGCTCTGCTGGGGACTCACCACACACGATGCTCTGATTGACACACTGCCAGGAGTAGCGCTCCATCTTGGGTCTGCAGCCAGCCTGCTCAGCCTGCGTGTAGCAGCAGTCGTGCCGGTGACAGCACCTGGGGATGGCAGACAGGCAGACCAGCAGGTGGGTGGAGGCAGGGATGCTCTCCCGGCCAGGACTATGGCTAAGTGAGGACACGCAGGGAGCCAGCATCTTCTGGTCCAAGCTGTGTCCCCGAGAATCCCCACCCTGGGAAATAATTTTGCAGACCCCAGTGTGTGGGGTGTGCCCTGGCTCCGTCCCTTGGCCCCTGCCTGCCTCATTCTGTGTCTCTGAGCTCCCACGCACCTCCTCCACACCCTGCCTCCTCTCTGTGCCGGGTGTGAGCCGAGCCCCGCCTGCCTCCTGACTTTGCGTGGGACCTGCCCTCTGCCTGGGACGGCTACCTGCCCATCCTTCCTCCCTCCAGGTCTCAGCCTAAGAACAGCTCCCATTCCAAGATGTCATCCAGCTCCAGACCTCCCCAGTCAATGACGGTCTCCTGGTTACACCGTCTCATACAACTGGGTTCCTTCCCTTCAGGGCAGGTTTATAGCGAGACTCTCATTTTAGGGAGAAGACTGATGAGCATCTGTCCTCTGCACTGGCCAGAGCTCTGTCGGGACAGGACCATTTCTGTCCTGCTCTCCACAGTGTCCCCAGTGTCCAGTCCGGGGTCTGCTACATAATAGGACCTCAATAATAATAATAATAATAATGATAATGATAATTTGCTGTTGAGCAATTCTGAGAAACATCCACAAATGTCCCCAAACCTGCCCATCATTCATTCATTCACTGGTACTGTCTCCATCCAGTTACTAGTCCCACCATGTACGGAGCCCATAATGGGATCTGGCAGGGAGAGGTCAGCCAGATGCCGCTCTGCCCTCAGGGAGCCCCCAGTCTGATGGGGGGAGGCAGACAAGCCGCCAGACACCACATGCATGGTGAGAAGTGCTGGAACGTGGGATGAGTGCGGGGGGACTCCGGGAGCCCAGAGGGGTCAATGCCTGAGCTGCATCTGGGAGGATGTGTAGGAAGCAGACAACCATGCCTGGGAGCCTTGGAAGCATGAGACTGAGCAAAGACCTGTCTGGGACAGTCAAATCCTCCAAGCCAGGGAAGAGACCTTCACATGGTGCCCTCTGCCACCTCCTACTGGCTGTGTGGAAATGGGTGAGTGGCCGTGCCTCCCTGAGCCTCAGGGGACAGCCGTCCTGCCCGCCTTGGAGGATAAACGAAAGGAAGTCGCTGATAGATCTAAACAAACCCTCAGCCTTGCACAGAACGGGCATTTCTCACATGGTAGCAGAGCCCAGAGAGTAGGGGCATAAATCCAGCCCAGCTGCCTGGGTTCGGATCCCAGCCCCCACCCCTCACTGTCTCTGTGGTCCCAGACAAATTCATCTCTCCTGCCTCAGTGTCCTCATCTCTGAAATGGGGTTGTTGTGAGGACTGAGAGGGCTTCTCAGAACGGTTCCTGGTGCATAATAAGTCTGATCAAGCCTATGTTCTTTTATCAGCCCAAGTAATTCATCGCATGGTGAGGCGGGGGGGGGGGCAGCTGTGACACCCGGGGTGTGTCCTCACCGGGAACCTGTGGGGTCCCGAGAAGCAGGGAACCTGCTTCTCCCTCTCCCTCTGCATGCCCCGTCACCCAGGAGGCCCTCTGCCTGCCAGGTTGTACTGCATGCTAGGATCTTGCTAGTCCAAACAGAAACCTCGGTTGTGGGTATTTCCTTATAGAGGCCTTAACTACCCCAGGGGGTGGGGGACCTTCTGAGCCCAGGCCCAAGCATGCACTCACCAGTCGATGGCGTCGCGGGGCTGGCCATGGCCCCCCAGGCCACAATAGCAGCCATAGCTTATGTAGGACAGGGGGCTGCGGCTGCCAACACAGTTCATGGTCCCTGCCAGTTCTAGAAGCCCACGCCGGTGCACGTGTGACCTCTGGGAAGCTAGAGGGAAACAAAGGTCAGAGTTTGCAGGGCAGGGCTTGGGGAAGGGCACTAGCGTGGGAAGGGCTTGGATGACTGTTTGGGTTTGAATCCCACTCTTCCTACTTCCTCACTGTGTGACCTTGGACAACTTACTCAACCTCTCTGTGCCTTGGTTTCCTTGTTTGTAAAATAGGGAGGATGAAATGGCATCACGCATGTAAAGCCCCTGGCACATGCCAAGCTCTATTATTCATGTCTTCAAGGCAGCCCTGAAAGAGAAAACAAGTCACAGAGCCACAGCATCCCAAAGGTCGCACCACTGCGCCTTTGCACAAGCTGGCCCCTCTTCCTGGAATGTCCTGATTTCCAATCTCCTGCCCTCATCTACTCCAGATGAAGTCAGACTGCTAGTACTGCATCAAATGTCTGTCCAGTTGCCTGTGCTGGGCACTGGGCAACAGAGATGAGCTAAACAGGGTCCATGCCACCAGGCTCCCCTGCAGGGGCTTTCCTGTCCATGGGTCTCCCCTGCCCTGCACCATGCCCCTCCAGACTCTGGCTCGGGGCCTTTTGCATCTTCTCTTATTTTCACTGCCCAGGCACGGCTTCCTCCCACACAGGGAGGCCCTGTGGCCTGAGCCCAGCCACCTGTCTGTATCCCCGTGCATCTCTGACATACAGCAATGCACAGGAGGGGTGACTGGCCCCCCCCCCCCACATTTCACAGGTGAGGAAGGGGAGGCCGGAGCACCAAGGACGACCCCCACAGTCACACAGCCAACCAGAACCTGATCTTCTTGGGGGCCTCCGACCCAGACTTCTGACCTCCAAACCAGTGCGCCTTCCTCTTCACCCAATAAGGGCAAGGGAAGGGGGCCTGCCAAGGTGACAGAGCTGAGAGGCACCAATGGGGCCACTGCTTGGGGTCAGGGCCCTCCAAACCCACTGTGACCGGGACATCCAATAATCCTTCTGGTGAAGGTAATGAAGGAGTCCATTCTCTGGCATTGGTCCAAAAAACCAAACAGAGCAACAGTAAGGAGTGAGATCACTTGAACCTCACCCCATACCGAGCACCGTGCTCCCCAACTGACAGGCACCTCCTATTGTCAACAGCATAGCCTCCCTGTCTTGTGGGCAGCTGTTATCCCATTTATGGCTGGGAAGAGGCACGGGGCTGCCGTGGCCCGGAGCAGACACTCACACGGGAGCCTGTCTGATTCCTGGGTGTCCACTCTCCACCGCTTGGGGACGGAGGAGCCAGGTCAGGTCTGTGCATTGCATCTGCCCATAAGGTCTCATCGCTTTTCATCTAAAACAAATTTTCAGGGCGCCTGGGTAGCTCCGTCGGTGAAGCATCTGCCTTTGGCTCAGGTCATGATTCCAGGGTCCCGGGATCGAGCCCCGCATCAGGCTCCCTGCACTGCAGGGAGCCTGCTTCTCCCTCTCCCTCTGCCTGCCGCTCCCCCCTGCTTGTGTGTGCTCTCTCTCTCTGTCAAATAAATAAATAAAATCCTTAAAAAAAATTTTTTTAAACAAGTGTTCATCACCCTGACTTTTTTGAAGAGTCCAGGCCAAAATTAAACCCATTGTTGTTTTTCCTTGGTGGAAAAAGTACCATATTTGTGGGGGTGGGGGAATAGAGATGAGTTAAATAGAAAGAAAACATAGAAACCAGTTAAAGGTTTCGTCTTCCTCTCTGGGTGACCAGTCCTCGCTCTCCCACAACTGGCCAGGTGCGGCTCCCAGCTGCCCACGCGTCTGCCCGAAACATCCCATGGCTCCCACCACTGTCCAGATAAAGCTCAGAGGCCTCACTGCAGCCCAGAGGGCTTGCACGAAGGGGCCCCTCTCTCAACACCCCCATGTCCTCTCTCAACGCCCCCATGCAGCCCCTGCTCATCATTAATGTCTCCAGCTGAGTTTCCCATCACAGACACCCTGCAGGGCACACGCCCTCACCCCATGCTCACCTCTCACCTCCTTCTATAATCCGCCTTGCCCCCAGGTGGCCATAGCACACTGTGCAGCTGTCTGCTTATGGGAGTGACCCTCTATTTAACTCTTTTAAAGATTTTATTTATTTATTTGACAGAGAGAGAGAGAGAGCACAAGCGGGGGGAGCGGCAGGAAGAGAGAGAAGGAGAAGCTGAAGGCAGATGCCTAACCGACTAAGCCACCCAGGCGCCCCTGGGAGTGACCTTCTCAACTGGGAGCTCTTTGAGGGCAGATTTCTGCTGTAGACAACTCCAGATCCCCTGGCACACAGTAAGCTTCCAGAAAAGGTCCCTTGACCTCCGGACCTACCAAGCCCCATGGAACACTCCCTGTGTAAGCATACCTGAAATGGCCCCAGTCCTAACTCCATGCCCCAAAGCTGTCCCCAGAGGTCCCCACCCCGACCTGACCACACTCTGGCAATCTCAGGGTCCTGGGCACAGCCCTCCAGAGAACCAAGGCACGGGGCAGCCGCCCAGCACTGAGTTTGGAACCAAGGAAAATACTCCCTCCGCGTCAACTTAGGTGAGGCAGGTCATCCTGGGGTCTGTTTGCTCTGTCTGCCCGCGACAGCCTCTACTTGGGAGTGCCGAAGCTGTCCCGGTGTCCCATGGGCCTGAGCATGT